CTTTTATCACCTTCATAACCGTACTGTACCATAATTTCGTCCCGTACTGTACCATACTACATGCTCTGCTTATGGGACACCTCACCCACCTGCCTTAAGCATACTTTGTCGTTCTCTTCTGCACTACGTGACGTCCATAACAATGGATACCGTACTTGTCCTAAACCCAAATATGGACTTGCGGGAGAATATCTGTAAAGTCTAAAATCTGTAACCCAAGTCATCCTTAACCAGGGGACTGTGTGTATAGGTATTTTACTAAATAAAGTACATGTCTGTATAATTATAATGCCACACAATTTACAATAAACATTCATTCTGAATTAAACGTGTTACACATACAGTATGTGAATGGGCATGTTACTTCTACTGCCCAACATTAGTTTTCCATCTTCTTGTCTAACATTTGATTATTTATTGAGGCAGAAATGACAGGAGTAATACTGTACTGTATAAGCAAAAAATGTAAATGCTAAGAAGCACCCCAAAATAGTTTTAAAAAGTATACATTGAAAATCAACACTGGCACAGGTGAAAGGGACTTTAATTTTCTGTGTTAAGGATTTTTTTTCTCCCTTTTCTGGTTCCACTATAATATGTGATGAAAAGCAGCGTTATTAGATATAAACTAACCATATATACGACCCAGAAGTAGATGCCAGATATTGCCAAGTGTTCAGGGAATTTTGTCCGCAACTGTACATCATGGAGCCAGTACAGTACTTCCCAAGTGATAAGCAGAGACTTGATCGATCGCCCAAGCAGCTAAGAAGCCGACCAGTGGTGAAGATTAGAGGATAAAGTAAAGTAAAATACTGTATGAACATACTCAGGACAATCACAAAAAGACATTAGAAAAAAAGAAAAACATTTACTGCAAAACATGAATACAATTAGCCATTCACATATATTAGCATAAACAAAAACAAATAATGCAATAAATACCTGAACATGTCACAAAAACATTCAGACACAGGATGAACCAGAACACAAACATAGCCATAACGTTTGTGATGTAAAAAAAAATCCATTACTTTTACTTTTATCCTCTTCACCACTGATCGGCTCGTTTGCGGCTTGGGCGATCGGTCACGTCTCTGTTACACGTTGTTAGCAAGTACTGGGCATGCACCGGCTCCTGAATGTACCTGAACCTGCTCCAGTGTTGGTCAAGTCTTGTCTTGAAAGAGATCACAAGAAATAATACCACTGACTTCAGATAATAAATGCACGCATGTGATTTATCATGTTCATCTTTACTTTTACCCTCTTGGCCACTGATCGGCTCATTAGCTGCTTCGGTGGTCAGTCACTCTCTGTTACAGACCCTTGGCAAATACTGGGCATATACAGGTTCCAAAATGTATCTGTACCTGTGCCAGTGTTGGTCAAGTTTGGTCTTGAATGAGCTCACACTCAGTGCCATCACAACACTTTCTGGCAGATTGTTCCAAGAGTTTACAATTCTCACTCCAAAAAAGTTCGCCATGACAATTTGCTGAACTTTTTAGGTTTTTATAAATTGCACACACTACAGTATATTACATTCAGCTTATTTACCCAATTTAAGCACTTGTAATGATAAAGAACAAATGGAAAATGCAAATTGAAGCAGTAACTAAGTGTATGTTTGATAACCCAATACTGTATGTACTGTAATATTATCTGAACCTTCAGCATCTTTGAAGAAATGGACCCTTAAATATCTTGTTCTTATTTTGCCACATATGACACAGCTGTGCAGCCGAGTCCATGTTGCCATTGTCAATCAGGTGTGTACTGTATTGTGCTCTGCCCCACTGGACACACCCCTTGGCATACATAAATGTTGTAGATGATGTACCATTGATTGCAGTGCCGTTTCTTAACCAGGCGTTACATATAAATGGAACTCAAATGAACAGGGAGAGTCATTTACTTAACTTTATCCTCTTTGCCACTGATCAGCCTGGAAATACACACCTGATCGCTTTGTCAGCTATCCTTGGTCAAGTTGCCTTACTGTTAACCATTATTGTTTACTGGCACTGTCTTGGCACACAAGAAACTGTATGCTCCCATGGCCTACGTGCATTGTACACTGCAGTGTCTATATTCATGCTGAGCTGTGTAACTGCAAAGTTTATAAACATGCTTATCCAATTGTAAACCTGTATGACAATTATACTGAATAAATATTATTATTATTAATATTATTATTATTATTAATATCATTACTATTATTATTAATAGCCACTTGGGTGGTTGGTCATGTTTCTGTTAAGCACTGTTGGCAAATACTGGGCAGGTACAGGCTCCAGAATGTATCAGGACCTGTGCCAGTGTTGGTCAAGTCTGGTCTTGAATGAGCTCACACTTGGTGCCTTAACATTCTCTGCCAGGTTATTCCAAGAGTTCACAAATCTCACTCTTTTACTTTTCACCTTCATCCTCTTCACCATTGATCAGCTCATTAGCCGCTTGGGCAATCGGTCACGTCTCTGTTACGGACTGTTGGCAAGTACTGGCTCCATAAAAGTTTGCTATAAAACTTTTCTGAACTTGTGGCATCTTCAACCTGTCTATGGCATAAGCTTGGCAACTGGTAGCCTTCCTTTGGACATTATCAATCATCTGACAGTCTCTAATCAAAGGCTTGACAGAGAGTTGTAAGAATGCTACAACAGGAGCATATCATCATATTCCAGGGAGCCTGGGCAGTAAGCTTCAATTCCATGATTATGTCAGTTTCCTCTAAACTGAATTTGTTACTATGTAACGGGCCGAGTATTCTCTTTTCAATAATTTACCATCCAGCTATTCTTATATGTTCTTTACCTCTATATACCTTATATTCTTATATAAGTAACTCGTATGCTTCTCTGCTTATGTTTTCCAAGTCGATGTTCTTTCTTTTCATTTCCTTTCATATATATATATATTCTCAGTTTCAATGTTCTTACCTTTCTGAAGTTTACTTTGTTATATGTCTATTCTTATACATGGGTTAGTCTGGGGAACCATGTTATTCTTTGTACAACACTTTTTATACTTACAAAGGGTAGCTGCCACCACCCAGACTTTTCATTATATAACCTAACTCATGGAAAGTTGTTGGGTAGTGTGGTAGATGTCTAGGCACGTGAGTAAGTGTTATTTTCTGGGAACCAATGTTTAGAAGGAGCAGAGTGGTGATACTCAGATTACTAATTCAATATTTATTAACACAGTGAGTGGAGAAGATGCATCTTAGATTCACTCAGGCTAAACAGAACCGCAATTAACTTATTAAATCATCAAACACTTCAAGAGCTTATTACCTCATCCAACACCTCCAAATACTCATTACTTTATTAGACAATTGGGATATCATTACCTTGATACATGAGATTCCGTAACTATTATTCACAAGCCATCACTGGACCCTCAGGTCTTACTTTAACAAGTAACACATTACCTCTTCACTTCTTGATTAGAGCATGATACTCTCAGGTTATTCGTTCATGATTACTACAGATGAATACATAACACATTGGACTAACTCCACAATTATAGTAACATACAATACCTCCTGTTAGTTTGCAAGGAACAACCTGGTACCTTGAACTCTCATTCAGTGGTTCAATACTTAACCTGGGATGACTATATTTCTGCTAGTCATCCCTAAGCATGGATATTAATACGGCTCCATACATATAACCAAGAACAGTGGGTAGACCATGATCATATGACGGAGTCAGTGGGCCAGAGTTGTTTACAGGCTCGCTCGCTAGCTCGGAGCGCCTGGCCCGGGAAAAGTTGACTGTGGCGGTGGGCCGTGGCGTCTGCCAAGGAATCTCGCCCTGGGATTCTAATCTCGCCACCTTAAAGACGTCTTTCGAGAGACATCGTGCCCATAGGCGGCTCCCAAACCTCAGGAGTGTTGCTAACCCCCACAACAGCGTCTGGAGACGTGGAGAAGAAATCACAGAAGGAGTGAATATTTAACTTCACTATACAAAACATACGTCTGGCACCGGTTCAGACGATAGCTAGACCTCTACTTTACTTGACTCACTTGGCACTGAAGGTACTATGTTAAAACATGAACACTGATATTCACAAAAAATGACTAAGTTAAACTGAGTTAATATGGCGGCGTGGAACACACGTGAACATACCTGGAGACGTGGAGAAGAAATCACAGAAGGAGTGATTTCCCCTCGCGCGCCTGCATATATACGGGCCTGAGGGCATATTCCTACTAGAAAGATAAATTTCACTAACAATAGACCCTCTATTCACAGTAGTCGTTGGACACCTAGCTGTGACCGTCAGTGTCACAGATCCGGCTAATTTTCTACATCTATATTTATGATTTAATCAGAGGTTGAGTTTGTCAGTAAAGAGGTGAATTGAAGTTATATATGCGTTCGCAACTCTATTGGCCTGACCGCAAACCACATCCCCGGTCAAACGGCCGTTAAATCTGGGAGAATTTTGAGTTTGACAGGAACTGTTCAGAAGATGAATGACTTTCTTAAATAGACAACTGACACTAACTAAACTATGAACATCAGATTCTCTGATGTCGGGGCAACAAAACAATATAACTTCAGTAGCGATCAGAAACCCATGGATATCCCCATGGACGACCTAAAATACGCCACTCTAACTGGCAAACCCAACACTCGCCTACTTGACACGTCTTACTAACAATAAGGACAGTTGAAGCGTTCAACACCACTCACAATGGATCTTGAATGTTCCAACTGTAAACAGACATATCTAAGTTGACTCAAAACAAAGGTGTTCTCTCTCACATTCAAATACATTATATAGAGAGGTTGGTTTCAGTAAGTCAGAGAAAATGGGATAACGGAGGACTGAGGCGCCTAGACTGAGAACTAACAACAAATTCTACTGCAGTGTTCTGTGTTTGCTGTAAACACAAAATACAGTAACCACAATCTAATTCTCAAAACTTAAAAAAAAATTAGAAAATTGTGTGAATGACAGGTGAAGTTGACATTACTATACAGTATTGTTTGTGATGTTTTAATAAGATAATATTTGTTAGCACTGCTAAAGCAAATGTAATTGAGATAATTATTACTTATGAAGTGTACATTTTTTTTAATTATATACTGTATTCATTTATTGACATTAAAAAAGCTATGTATCACTAGATTGTTTAATGTATATACTGTACTACTATAACTTCTTAATGCTAGTTTAAATCATTTTTACATTGCACAGTATATTAGTTTGCTGCTTTTTTTTCAATATGATAAATTACAAATCATAAAGACATGACCATATATTATCAACATCTGATATGCTGTTGTCAAATTTATTTGGGATTGATCTCCACAAAATTGTACCATGTACGATACATAGTGTCTTACACTGTATCTTAATCTGAATTAGGATATTACAGTAGTACGGTACTTACAATCTCATAATAACTTACTTACAGAGCCATATGCATACATCTTAAGAGCAATATTCTTACAGATCATTCATTAGTAAGTTTGTTGTATTTACTGTACAGTACTGGCCTACCCTCGTTTTTTAGTTCAACAACACTAATGTTCAATATCATTAGATAAATATTTCTTATCATAAATTCCACCCCACAAACTGCCTCTCAGTACCTGTGGTACATATCGTGTAAAGCTAGGATTCCATTCACGTGGTTGCAGTGTGTTTGCATTTTTAATCGCTACAGGGAGCAATTGGCATGTACGTACTGCAAATGCATAACGTTACTGCAACCGTGCCAACGGAAACAACCGTGTACATTTCAATGTGATCTATTTTTGGCGCTAACACTAATGCAACAGCTAACTTGTGAATCCTAGTAAAGCTTAATTCTAATACTATTTTTGTTTCTTTGATCTTTTAAAATTTCTTAAGCTGTGTGATGTCTTTCCTCCTCTTATGCATATCTTAATTCTAATATTGTGTCTTCTATATTTCCTGTCATTTAATTGTAATCAAAAACTTTCATATCCCCAGATCATACATAGGTGATGAAGCCATCTTCCTTGCATTTCTTCACCTGCTTTAAAGCTGTGAGCAGTTCAGTGTGGACGGGCGAATCTTCCTGTGAAACATATGCTGTTTAATTGATTGCAAAATATAAATACATTTATTATAACTACAGGGTACTGTACTGTACTGAAATGCTGCATTAAAGTACTGTATGTACAGTACTGTATACAGTACAGTACATTACAATATATGCAATTTTTTATATTCCCATCATAAACGTTTTATGGCCATAAAAATATAAACTAAAATAGTTTAAGCAGAGTGGACACCACAATGTACAAAACTAGTGGGACTGAATTGTAGTATAATTTTTTGTTACTGTCCAACTTTACCTTGATCAAGTCTTCGTATGAGACAACCTATGAGGAATAAATAAATAAATACTGTACAGCTTATCGTCATTCCTGTAGCTACCTTGATGAATTTACTATTTATCAATATCCCTTTGATAGGCAGCAGAAATGTAAGTACAGTATAATTTTTAACATCAGCAAAGCAGCTATTAGTGTGCATAGGTTTCACAAAGATCCGTTGCAAGAGAGGTTAAAGTCAGAATGATAAAAAATTCAGAAGGGTTTTATACAATATAACCTGTTAAGTATCAGCACAGTATTTGGAATGAATGGGTAGAACAACTGTCTGATCAGGACATTATTCACTTTAATAATCTGTACATTAGAGGGCTTTATTAATTGTCTGGCAAAAGCTAAAACTGTGTACTCAATGTGAAATTCAATGGCAACATTTCTCCTTTTCAGTCTGGCCATCCAGAAACACTTATACAGTAGATATTGTTGATACGGCTGAAGAAGGAGGACTGAAGTGGGAGGAAGAACAAGACAACCACAGAATCAGAGGTTCTGAACTCTCTGGAAATGTCATATTTTACCAGGTTTATCAAATGAAAGTATTGTAGATCACACGGGTCACTCTTTAGGGAATTATAGGCCACAAGATAAAATCACTAAAGAAATGCAAATACTTACGTAATCCACCAACTAAATTTCAATCCAGGGGAAGCATGTTGGATGGAGTTCAAATTAGAACAAAGATGTAATGAACACAAAAATATACCCCGAAGACCATGAAGTGAAAGGGTTTTCAAAATCTTAAGACAGCCCAAACCCTAGTATGACAATATAAAACTGAAACTAGTGTAGTGTTGTTGAGGAGTATATATAAAAAAAAAGCAATATAGGAGTTGCAATAACATCCAAGGTTAAGTTTGGTTAAACAGCACCCATATGATGGCCATATCCTCTAAATGCTAGAGGGAATTTTTAATTAATTACTTCTACCAATTAACTCATTCCTAACACTGTATTTCAATGGTGACCGAAACAATAGAAACAACTAAACTAAACTTTGCTTTGTTCAATAAAAATGCACCCAGAATGAGACTCAGTCTGTGAAATTTCCCTAACTGCCTTTAGAGATGGGCCTAAAATAATGCAAACATCTAAATACTGTAGCTACACAACAAAAAATTCCCTTTTCTTTAAAATTCCTAACAATCAACAGTCAACTTTACAGTAGAGTATATTTAAGTAACTTATACAAGAAGGAACACCTACTAGCTCCTGTAATGTTGGAGGTGTAGGGTAGGTTAGTACCGTACTGTATGACAGTGTGATTGGATCTGAGAAGTTGATCCTTGTTATAATTTAGTACCTGACCAAATGTAGATTTAAGTAAAGTACTGTATATGTGATTATTCTGTGCAAAGATATTTGCATGTCAATCACTTCTTTTGGAATGCAGAATGAAGGTGAAGGTTAATTTAATTTCTAATTTGATTAAATTTTAAGTTTCCAGGCAAAAGCCCAGTGCCTTGGAGCCTAGAGTCTAGCCTTGCTACAAGGTTGCACAGAGATGTTTGATTCTGACAAGGTTGTAAGAGAGTGCACAGTACATGATGTAAATAATACAATACTGTATTTGTAGTTAAAAACTATGGATAATGTTGATGTTACTTTACAAAGAACTTTACCTGTGGATTTTCATTTACTGACACATGATCAGCTATCATATGGATCCCTTTGGACACAATGCTACCACCCATTCGCACTGTAAAAGATATACAACATGTATCTGCATAATTTCCAAGTACAGAATATTGCTTTAGCTATATTGTTAATGAATTTCATTGTGGAAAAGATATATATACTGCAAAAGTTTTAAATGAGATTCACAAAAATTTAATTTGCTATTATCAAATGAAAAATATTCAGATAAAATTTCTAACACTACCAATATTTATTATGGGATTTTCAACATATGAAAAGTATATACAGTAATGAAATGTAAATATAAATCTATACAGTACAGCATAAGACATCCAGTAGTGAAGTTGTGAGGACATTATTACTATGTCTTATAAAAAAAAAAATTAATAACAATCCTCTGCTTACTAAAGCCTAAAAGGTAAGTCAGATAATAGGATTTCTTTTTTATGTTCAAAATAAGTATCTGATGTTACTGACCTGATATAGTATGGTACACTATATACCTTTTATAACCGAGACTTACCCAAAGACCCAGTGCCTTTTCTTAACCACTTGGTGCTCTTGTGTGCACCAGGAACTGTTTCTTTCACTACCGTGTTCAACTTCTTTGTCAGATCGGTGTACACTGGAAAAGACAAAGGCGAGGTCATCAAACATTATAATGTACTGTACTGAATGGACTAACAGATCTAATAATGTTACAACTCACATGCAGGTTTGAGTGTCAATTTTTGTTGATTACTGTTACCTCATCTCCTATATACAGTACAGCAAAATCTCAATTTAATTAAAACCCTTTTCTCCAAATATTCTCTTTCTCCATACATAAAAAATTTCAATAATAAAATTGATCACTTCTGGACAAAACCTAATTCAATTTGTCACCAATCATTCATTGTCTTTAAAACACCTTGGTGTTAGTACTTTGCTGCATTACTCCCATTTCACTTACTAAAACTGCACCCAAGTGTTACATGTGGCATCCAAAAACTGATCAATGGATACCTTTCCATCTCCAGCAATGTCTAGTCATAAGATAATAAGTTACATTAAAAATAAAAATAAAGTACAGTAGAAATATTATAGAGTTTGGATGCAGGTAAAACTGCATACAAACTCTTACCACATTCTTTGGTGAGGTCAATAAGCAGCAGATATTGATTATTACACTAAAACTGATTAAAAAAGGACTGAATACTGTAGTAGAAAGTCTAAATTACCAATTACTGGCCATTTCAGTCAACTGTCACATCACATACATCCAGCAGCATGTCAGTGGCAACCAACACCTTATCACCTTGCAAATGCACGATTCTTGACACTTACAGAAAAACCAGTGTGGCTTTTTTTTCATATTTCATATACAGGGTACTACATTATGGTTTACAAACTTATTTCTGTAAACACATTCTGTATAACACACCTTGAGACCATCACTCATTGGCACCTTCTCTCTCTCTCACACAGACACACCACTTCATATTACTCTCAATGTTTGGGGTATTTTGATGGGAAAAAAAGTATTTTATTCCCCTTTTATCCTCTTCACCACCGATCGGTTTCACTATACAAATGGTGTACACCGTATAACTACAGGTACATATTATGTATGTGCTTAAATCTAACCTTTGGCTCACCTGTGCTTACACCTGTAGCAATCTTGCCAACAACACCCTCTTCCTCATCCCTCAGGTCAGTTAGTTCATTCATTAGGGCCAAGAGATCAGCCTCCATTGTCTTGGATACATTAGCAGGTAACTCGAGCACCACCACACGCTCTATAAATAGCAAAATTACATCATATAATTATGGCTTTAAAGACAAAACATACCAATATCCTTTAGAGAATTAAATTTTCTTCTATGCATCCATTACTCAACAGGAAACTGAGGCACAAAATCCCATTGTAGGACTGATTGGACGGAACAGATGACTCCTAAGAAATACTTTACCACCATTCAACAGCCAGAGCCTACCATTGCATAAGGAACATACAGTGCTTAGTAGTGGGATGACTTTAATCAATAAGACATTATTTTTACTTTACTATACTTTATCCTCTTTGTCAGTGAGTAGCCTGCTAGCCACTTGGGTGGTCAGTCATGTCTGTTAAGCACTATTGACAAGTAACACGCATGCACTAACTGGCTCCAGAATGTATCTGAACTTACACAAGTGTTGGTCAATATGGTCTTAAACGAGTTCACACTCAATGCCATCACAAAACTGACAATTTTGTCCCTGTCTCTCACTGAATCCCTTATTTTCTGCTTCAAGATCATCAGGAGTTACTTGTGTTATTCCCTCTAATATTGTACAGAGTGTTCTGAGCCTTTGAAAACATTCCAAAAGGCTGACAATGTTCCAATCAGTCATCTCATCTAGCTGAATCCAGTTTCAGATCTGGAACCAGTGATTATCTCTTGATTTTAGTGAGGATTCGGGTCAAGAGTCTTCAACTCTTCAGGATTCACGTATTTTCAAAACCCAGCTCAACTATATGGAAGTCCTTTAATCACTCTCAAACCCCTCAAAGTCACTCGCTTTGTTCTCTTGACCATTAAATGGCATGCCATGCTTCAATCCTCCTTTTATGGCTTATGGGACCCACAGAGTGAGCTGCAAGATCTAAATCAGCTCAGAAACAAGAGGAAAAGATTGTGTCAAATGGATGCTTCAAATACATCCCAAAATAGGCAGCAGATCCCCAGAAAAGAAAGAACAATGTAAATTAACCTCAAAATTTTCCTAAAACCAAACAGTCTTGACCAGGAAACATTTTATTCATATACAGTATAATACATTGACACAAAAGCTCCTTCCATTATAGATTTGATTAGTCATTTTTCTTATAAAATCTAAAGCAAAACCTCCTTAATTAAATGCTTCTTCAAAGTAAACAAAGCTCTTTCCATCAAGACAAATGCAATCCATAGAATAAAAAAACTGTCATTTTCAATATTAGCTTAGCAATTTTAAGAAATATTTGACAGGAATATACAAGGACTTACTTGGGCAGGTTGAATTATCATTAAAGATGTAAGCATTCTCAGATGTATGAAGAACATGGGTGGAGCCTGTCAATCTCAGTCGCCAGCAGCCAGGAACCTCCACCATTCCCACCAAATTCTCATTGCCTTCACAAGGGCTACCACCTACAAAAAAATTTATTGTGTCAACAAAAGTTGTATTATTCAAAAAACATGATCAAAATAGAAAAATTTGTAGGACATGATTCTTCTTCACACGTTGAGAACTACAGTTTTAAGATCTCTACAATTAGCAAGTTAATTTGGCAAATCCTAGAAATACAGTACATGTACTGTAGAATGTATGCAGACCTTCAAAATCAAGAGAAAGAATACATAAGATTGGTTACAGGGGTATGTCATATTATGAAAAACTAAACCTTTACTATACTGTACATGTTGCTGGTACTGTACTGTACTATAAGTCTCCTCTGCAAGTTTTTAAGTAATTCATCCTTTACAATCTCAAGTTAATGAAAGGATAAAATGTTTCTTATTACAGTACCTTAAAAGTAAGCTTTGGTGACCTTGAATATGATACAGGTGCCAGTAATTACTGGCAGACCTCCTATGAAGGAGTCTTGTCTAATGAATTATCGTATAACGGACACAAAAAAATATTAATTTAATAAATATTATACCCTGTAATTCCATTGACAATAAAAAGTAGAGATAAAAATTCCATCAAATTTATAAGAACCAATGAACATATCAGTCGCTTGTCTGATCTACGCTTACAGCGTGCCAAAACTTGCGTCGGTTCTGTCTCTGTACAGTATTACTGTCCTCAATATGTCAAAGTTTAGTAACTATTCATATTATTTTTGGTTTTGTACCTTTTATAAGGTGTAGCAAACAAGAAGCATTGGTAGGTGAGTGATGGGATGAATTGTCTAATAGTGGAAGACTGTTGGATGAATTTCACCAATTACATAATGTCTAATTACTCTTCACTACAAATACATCTACCTGTGTATATTACTTCCTTTGTCAAAAACTGCAATACAATAGTGTAAAAATAATCAATGTTCTTATATGTACTTATTCAAAGAGCTGCGAGAACTAAATGAGTTAAGAGTTGGCATGGTGAGACTTCCCCATCCATAGCCACAAACATGATCAAACTTAACCAGCCCCATTCCTTTCTCTAAGCCACAACTCAAAAGCAATAAATCTCAAGGAAACTGAAGCTCAGGTCAGCAAATTACTGAAGTGATATTCTATTATAAGTACAGTACGTATATGCAATTACAACAGCAAAATCATAATTTGCAACAAAAGATCAGGAGAAATATACAGTAAACCCTCCACATACTGGACTAGTTCATGCTGGCCATATCCATTAATGAGAGGCATTCCATTCTTTCCCCGGTGTATATACAAATACATCCCAAGTCATGTGCAGTCTAAGTTGCACACTTGCAATCATAATACTCATGATCCAATGTTCCCAAACAATTATGTGTTTTTCTCACAGCCATTTGCTTTTTACTTTATCCTCTTTGCTGGGGCAGTCAAATCATGTCTTTGTTAAGCATTGCTAGCAAGTACAGTACTGGACATATATGGATTCCAAAATGTATTTAAACATGTGACATACTGATAGATGGTTGTCTGGTTGTGTTATTTCACTGAACACAACCATAATATATACTGTACTGTAATGTTAGACAGTTTGCAGAGATTATAATGATCATTGTTATAGCATCCTTCTCTTCTCATTATCATCATTATACAGTATTTAGGTAAATTCATTAATACTTTTTTATTACTAATGTATTCTATATTATTTAATTTTTTGTTTGCAACATTTATTTAATACAGGACAATATAGTGGACAATTGCTCCCATTAACAGAATTTACTGGTTCAGTCCACCAATTACACCAGACAAAAAAAAGACGTTTTTTCCCCCCCCCCCAAAAAAAAACCAGTTTTTGTGATAAAGTCCAGATTGGGAACACCTGGTATTGAGAAGTCTTGTTAATGGGAGGGTTAACTGTAATTACATTTATTCATAGGATCCAATAAGATTTAGAAACCACATATACAGTACAGTATATAATAAGCAGTTTCTTCTTCCACCATACCAATCTTTTTGTAGATGGTCATCAGGAGAGGTCTGTGGGGAGAGACAATGTGTCCCTCTTGCTGTAAGAAAAACACCTTGAGGCCTTCCCCACCCCTCCATGCCACCACACAACCAGGGGGAGCTTCTCCCTCCTTTAGAGGAAGTTCATTCGTATTCTGTGGGTAGTTGGAAACACCTTAGTGTACCTACAGTCACAGAAAGTAAGGAAAAAGATGTAAGTGTCATGTATGCACCATCACCACTGCTTTATGGTCATTTTCCACATACTGGTGACTTAATTCACATTAATAATCAAGATTGCTAATAGGATATTATTTGTGGACTTACCTGCACTGGCCCTGTTGATGTGTGGTCAGGTAATGGTGGGCCCATTGATGTAAGGTCCCCTGGACTTTGGCATGGTGGTGCAGGTGCTGGGCGTACAGGAATTCGGGGACTAAATTTTGGGGGAGTTGGGTTACCCCTTCCACCTTGCACTGCAAGAGTAAAAAATACTTTGAACCTATTTTGGAAGGTATTATTTCATAAACACATAATATGATATCAAAAGTTATACAGTATAGTCTGGATTTACGCAGTTTTTGTTTACGCGTTTGGTCATTTATGCTGTGCCTTGCCAGAATGAAATGGTTTAATTACGCGGTAAATTTCATCATTTACGCGGCGAGCTGCTGGAGAGGTCCAGACCGCCGCGCCATTTTTTACTCACGCGGTCCATTCTTGACCATGCGAGGGAAGCAGCGCGGTGAGGGGTGCGCATTAGGCCGCTCTTACGTTATTGCTCACGTCATATGACGTATCGGACTGTGATTGGGCCACGCATCCTTACCACCCACAGGGTTTGTCTGGGAGGCCCTGCAAACCTCTGCGAGTAGTGAAAGTGATTCACCGGAGGGCAACTAATCTGCCCTCTGCCTCGGAACCAGCTGCCATCCACGTGTGCCGACCCATCTTTTCTACTAACGTAAGTGTTAAAAAACCTAACATTATTGATATTTCTCTTAAACATTAATTGTGTGTGCATGCCATCATAAAATGAGGATGTTATTTTTACTACAACGTATGTATTGTCGGAAAAAGTGGAGTTTGGGGGTCGGCCCAGTCTCTATTTCAATTAATCCCATATGTTCTGATATTTCGTTTACGCGTTTCTCGTTTTACGCGGACCTCCACGGGTTCACTTGACCGCGTAAATGCAGACTATACTGTATAGTGGTGAACAGTATCCTAATATCATTAACTAGGAATTTGGCCATAATTTTAGAATAATTTTTAATTTTGCAGAACTTTTTATGTCATCTGATTTTGCAATAAATTTTCTAGCAGCCACCAAAAACTTCTACAGATTGGCCGTTTTGTTAAACCCAACAACATCAATAAGTGAAGGCATTTTGCAGTGTTGGTTCTCACGTATGGAATGTGGCATACAACAACATTTGGACAAGGTTGATTGTTTTTCCATATTAAACTTTACATAAACTAACTTATGGGTTTCTATCTATACTGTTTATACTACGTATATTAAGAAAACATTAATGGCTTCTCTCATCCATGAACTTGCCAAGATTGTTGTACTAGGAATGTCAGGTCTTGGATGATATTTACAAATTTTTTTGATCGCAAATAAATAAAGCTCAGCAGGGGCAGTTCCAAGACTACCAAAAGGGGGTCCAAGAAGTTGTAGATGAGAGACTATGGCGAGCACAGTGAGCTCATTCAGCATTTTGAGGTGCATATACATTTGATATTAGGAGATATTCTGAAGTCAATAGTAAATCCTTTTTACTACACAAAAATGCCTGAGTACAAGACTGCATTAAAGAAAAAGTATTGGAATTTTCTAAGAAAAGGGGGGGGGGGTCTGGACCCCCAGGAGCCCCCTGGATCTGCCCCTACTCAGTTAAACATCATATAGGTTAACTCACCTGGAGGCTGAAAGCGTTTAGTGTCAGTACTGGTAGTAGGACCAGAAGTGGGACGAGGGTGCACACAAGAGGGAGGTTGCGCCTGGGCGTAGTTTGGGCGGACATGCAGGTTGGTGTGGGCGGTGGAAGGTGAATCATGGGTGAAGCAATTAGCCTCATATGGAGGAGGTGGTTCTGGAGGTGCTGTAGGTAAATTCTGAGGTGCTTCACTACCATAATAAGGAATATCTCCAAGCAGGGTATCAGGGTAAGACTGTACTGGTACAGAAGGTGATGCTAAAATCCCATACCTAAGTTCAGGATATGGGTTGGGCAGATTGTTATGCAGGGAAAGTTGATGTGGTGTCGAGTTGGAATGGGACAGAATACCATTCAAGCCATATTGGTCTGGTCTTCTATTTGAGTTGGGTATATAATTACACATAACATCAGTATGGGATGATTTACCTGCCTCTGGCTGTGGTAACAGTGAAACATCAGGATACAAGGAGTATCCACCAGGGTTCATCGGCGGGCCGTCAGGCTGGCTTGGTGGAGGGTAACCAGGAGGATAGCCTGCTGGGTAGCCTTCTGGGAAGCCCTGGTGGTAGGCAGGTGGGGGAGAGTAGAAAGCCCCCCATGGAGGTGGAACACCATAGGGTGCTGCACCAGCTGGAGGGGCTGGCCCTGCAGGGTATACAGTGTGGGAAGGGTTGTAAGGGGGTGGAGCACCAGGGCAATATGGAGGAGGCGGCCTCTCAGGGGGCATCCCCTATCACTAATCTGAGAAGGATCAAAGACTTGTTAACAACACTTGTACATTACATCATAAGGAAAAATATTTCTAAAGTGCAGCAGCAGTTGCATAAATCCCAATCCTGCCTCACTCATAGACTGAGAAATTATTTCTTTACAAGATGCAAGTTACACAGGGCGAGAGACTCGCTGCTTGAGTAGGATTACAGTACCTACTGCTACTTTATCATGAACCAAGATTATCAATCTAAACCACCATGAAGAATAATGAATTGAATAACATGTTACTTAAATTATCATTATTATTATAAATATGGGTAAAAGCATTCGTCAACCATTACAGTAGTGTATACAGTACCAGTACTGTAGTACTGAGAACACTGTATAATACTGTATAATCTAAAAAGGATGTGCCTCGCCAAGGGAAGTTGTACCCACGACTATGTCAATGCAACTTATGACCATATCTTGAGAGCTTGACAATACAAAAGGAAAACAAGGTTTTAATTTCTTATCCCTGGGGTACGTCCGCTGGCTGGGACACTCCTTATACGATGTTATTCTCTCGAAAGAAGGTTATCCCGATTCCGAAATGGAGGAGAAATTAAAACTGCCCCCAACTTATTATTTTCATAACCACCCCACCTATCATTATACAGCATATGACGTGATATATATATATATATATATATATATATATATATATATATATATATATATATATATATATATATATATATATTTATATATATTTATTTTACATCCTAGGTTTAGGTACAGGTGGTTCTAAGGCAGGGCTGGGTGTCCACTACCCGTCCTTGACTAGTTCAACACATGCATGCATGTAATAACGTAAGGCGCTTGGCAACAACACCTGCCCGCCCCGGCCTTTATTGTTGCAGTTAAAACACTGGATACAACACAATGGGTTATCATATTGTATAGATAAATGTACGAAGCTATGACTAGTTTAATCAGATGTCTCGTTCAACAAAACTACAGTATAATGCTGTGCAGTGTAAAACGTAGAAACTGTTGGACGACACAGCGAACACGGGGCGATATAAGTTTTAAACACAAACCACCTCCCCCTGGGGCCTCAAGACAACCTGCATTAATGCTGATCTGCGCAAGCCTTGGTTACAGTCACGAACTGCATATTGGTATCTAATTCGTATAGTTTGTTAGAATTCAAAAGATTGGGCTTCTACAATGCGGGTGTACTGCACACACAAGGATGGTCGTTAAGGCAGTAGGAAGCTATCAAACAGGGAGGTACTACCAAGGTAGGTAGACCCTGCTGCCATATGACAACACAGGTTACTGATCTGACTTTCTGCCCCATTTACACACAACTGCAGGGTGTCAATTGTTCTTACTTTGTCGACACAACATACGAGTACATTATTATATCGTTTCTCACTATTGATTCTCTTTTTACTTGTATTTATTTATGGTTCATTATTATTATGATATTTTTATTTAATAGTTTGTATTTTTTATTATCTATTCTTATTTATTATTATTATTATTATTATTATTATTATTATTATTATTATTATTATTATTATTATTATTATATTTTCGCTCCCCGGCCCTGATGTGGGTCATTGACCTGTTCCTTGGTGGGTTAATCCCGTAAAAAAAAAAAAATAAAACAACGATTAGACCAAGGTTACCCACAAAAAAGTTATGAACTTCAGTGTCCCTCATCAGGGTAATTTCCTATGTCTATTCATATAATCTAATCAGAGGTTGAGCTTGCCAGGAAAAAGTGGAATATACACGTTGATAACATTAATTCTGCGAGCTCAGGGTTGCTGCGAACAAGGAACTATTCACAGGGAGACGTTAGATCTTGGAGATTATACAGGTTGACAGAATAGTTCAGGAGATTAATGACTTTCTTAAATAGACGACTGATAAACTCTAAACTACAACCATCAGATTTTCTGATGTTTGGGCAACAAAATAATCTGACTTCAGTAGCATTTGGAAACTCATGGTCATTCTTAGGGACGATACCGCGGGTATCGTTCATACTGGCAGACTCGACACGCACTTACTAAATAAGTGTTACGAACAATAAAGACAGTTAAAGCTTTCAACATCACTCACAAAGGATCTTGTATGCTTTAACTGTAATCAAACATATCTAAGTTGACTCAAAACAAGGGTGTTCTCTCTCACATTCAAATTCATTTTATAGAGAGGTTGGTTTCAGTAAGTCAGAGAAAATGGGATAACGGAGGACTGTGGGGTATGGTATGTTTGCTTGCTGCGGCTGTAGCTAGAAAGAAGAGAGAGGTCACCACGAGGTCAGATCTTTTATAGCGGGGGTAGGCGTGGCTAAGTAGTTGACCTCCGTGATGTATGGCGGCGCTGGTTGACTCAGACCACGAGGCATACACTGGGGAATTCGTGGGGTCGGCTACTCAGCGACAAACAGCGTTTGTAGGGGAGAAATCCACTACAGGACTAAGGCGTCTTGAAACGATGAGAAAACGGCCTCCTCAGATGGGGGACTCAAACGAAGGCAGAGCTACATGTTTTGTGGGCTATTGAGCGTAATATGAATCGCATAAATTTGGAGTTAACTGACGTGCATAACCGTGGTCATTACAGGATGGATAGATGAGCAATAGGGGTTGGGTGTCAATGGAACTGCCCAGTATGGGCCAATAGGCCCGCTGCAGTTTCCTCATTTCTTATGTTCTAATAATCTAATAGATAGGATCCAAAATCTTCCTTGAACTTTTTCTTTCATATTCTTTCGAAAATCTACAAAATGCCGAAAATCTAATGTTAACCTACGGAATACTTACCTCCTCCCCCTTGCCCCCCCCCCCACAAGGGTCCTCTCTCTCGAGAGAAAACGGGAATTATCGAGATGATGGAAAACTTTCAAACGTCATACCCAAACTTGTTCCAGTAAATAGTTATAAGAGTTGCCTAAACTTCTTGTTCGGTTCCATCATTCGAGAAAGGCTCAGAATTTAGTATCTCTTTTTATTTTTTTATTTTTATTTTTTTAGGAAGGGAGGGAGGAAGGGAGGGAGGGAGGGAGTGGGTTGAGGGTTGGCTTAGTTAGGATGAATCTCTTGGTATTAGCGAGAGTTGCTAGAGTTAGCTGATGGCATGGAGGCCGTTGGTGTTTAGGGTGTGCAGCGAAAGTTTTGTTAGCGGGTGTATCTAATTTAACGCTCTTTTTTCGTTCTCTCTCTTTCTTTCTCTCTCTCTCTCTCTGACCTCACTCTGTGTTCTGACCTCACTCCAGTTGTGTTCTGACCTCACAGCAGGCTTAGCTCCCGGGGATTAATTGTCAGTAATAGCTAGTGCTACTTGTGAACAGGGCTGTGCCCTTCAGAGGGCCGAGTTAGAGAGGGCCACGATAGAAATCTTGAAATTGAAGGAAATAATAGCGAGGATGAAGGAAGAAACGAAACAAGGAAAGCCCGTGTCTGACGAAAACTCAGGCGAATGGAAGGTTGTGAGGAGAGGGACGACCAAACTGGTGGTGAAAAAACACGCCAAGGATACGACAACAACAACTAAGTGTATGAACTCTTTCAGTCCTTTGATAGACGAATTGGACGTTAGCATAGTCAGGGACAAGGCTGACAAGGAAGGTACGAAAACCTTAATTGTTGGCGATTCCCAGGTACGGTACCTGGACAGAGCTTTTTGTGGTAAAAATAAAGAAATAATAATAATAATTAACGGTTTATTGAAAGAGCTTGGCAGCCAGAAGGCTGAAAATATATAGGATGAGGGTGTGTTTGCCAGGAGCTGGGGTGGGGGATATAGTTAAAGGATGGACAATATCTTGCCTGGTAATGGGAACAAACCCTTTATCTGCCTCAGTGCAGGAGGTCGAAGGGAGAGATCCCTATCATATGTGGTGTCCTGCCCAGAAGGAGAGTTGGCAATGAATGGTTGTCAAGAGCAGTTGGTGTCAACGGCCGTCTTGACAGACATTGCATGTCAATATCAGCCCCATTCATTGACAACTGGAACAACTTCTACGGCAGAAGGGACCTTTATGCTAGGGATGGGGTGGCAACCCTGGTTGGTTCTCTCGAGAGGGCATTTCAAAAGATGTCAAAGTCTTCAAACTGCTAGGAGAACATGTGAGCACGGGGGTGGAGGAGACTGTAGTGGGAGTGCACTGTTAAAAAAATCTTACAGAAAATTCACTGGTTATATTGTTGCCAAAAATTTTCTGGATAATTTACAGAGATTCTGTATATAATTTTACATAAAATATCTGTTGAATTAACAGAGTGTTGGAAGTTATTGGAAGCTAAAACAACTTGTCCCTGAATACGAATTCGCAACTTTCGATTTACAGCAGGTACTTACTTTGCTGCTAGGTGAACAGGGACCAAGGGGACTAGGAAGAGTGTCCAAACAACTCCAGCCGGCCCAGGAATCGAACCTGTGACATCTTGCTTGCGAGGCAAGAGTGGTACCACTCCACCAGCACACCTCCCATGTGATGATGTGGCGCTCTTTGAAATAATGTAAACAAACACGGACATACGACGAACGTGAAGCACAAACAACCGCCAACCGCATATTCATTAATTACATATAGAAATAACAGCATTAACAGGCAATTTTAAATGTTTTTTGCATCATGAAGTGTATATAGGATGATAAAATGTCAGTTTATATTGATAATTAAACAAATTGAAACAGAAAGAGTGTCTGAAATATTTTACAGAACAAAAAAGTAATTCAAATTACTACGTTTTCCTGGTCGGAATTACAGAAGAAACATGTAAAAAATACTGAATTTTCTAACAGTGTGGGTAAACAAAGTGAAAGGTTACAGGGAAATAGTGCTCGGAAATATGACAAAACTAAATTCGACAGGGAGTTAAAACCTAAAGGCAATGCATGGAGTTAAAACCTAAACACGACAAAGAGCGGACTCAAAACACCACTAACTTAAATGTCTACTACGCAAACAGTAGAAGCATGAGAATCATAATGAATGAAATCAGGGCGTTGGTATGTACCGAAAAAATTTATATAATAGCATTCACTGAAACATGGATAAACCTAGACTCACGGGAGTTACCTGTCGAATACCAAATTGCAGGTTACAAATTATTCCATACCGATAGGCAGATTAGGAAAGGAGGGGGAGTAGCAATCTATGTCAGGGATAATCTGAAGTGTGAAATAAATAAGGAAATAAAAACTGAAATGAATACAGAAACAATTTG